ATTATACACTTAATTAAGTTAATAAAACCATAAGGGTGTAATTTGAACTTTTCAAAACTTTAGGGTTTTAGAATTTAATATTTCAAAATTAATACTTTTTTAATTAAAATTAAATTCCAAAACTTGAGGACAAGTTTTGAAACTTTTTAAAACATTTGGGTTTAACTATTTAAATTTCAAAAACTAAAACATTTAAGTCCAAATTTAAACTATAAAACGTAAGGGGTGTAATTTGAAACTTTTCAACTTACTAGGTCAAATATTTGACTCATAATAATCCTACATTGTCCATATTTAACCAAATCCATTAATTTTGATAAGGATAATCATTCCAAACATAAATAATCGATTTTAGGCAATAAAAACGAGTTTTGGTAATTATCCTTAACAAAATCTGCTCAAAAAATCGAAAAATCCCGGCAACCGCACACTGGACTCGCCGAGTCCACTGACGGACTCGCCGAGTCGGTGTCGCAGACAGCAAAAAAATTCGATTTTTTTTTATCCTTTGGCAGTTCACTTTTGCATCTATTCACTAGAAAAACGACCTAGGCTCTGATACCACTGATGGATTATTAGCATAACATCATTCCTATGGTGTTCATGCAACCCTAATTGCTTTGATCTAGGTTTTTCTAAGTAAACATACCAAAGCAATAAACCCTAATTGACTAGCATACAAATCTGAAATTGACATATGATTAGGGTTAGAATCATTACATTGATTGTTATGTAGCAATAACAATCGCAAACCTTCTAGATGTCGACTTCTGAAAGCTTAGTGCCTCAAGTGTTGCACCTCTAATGGATTCACAAACACCATGAGCAACAAGATGACTTAGGAGAAGGGGGAGGAGGCTCAAAAAATGTTCTAGGGTTTTCTCCAAGAGTTAGCCATGTTTTTGGGGCCTTAGGGGTTCCTTATATAGGTAAGCTATTAGGGTTTTCAACTAGGAAACCCTAATTTGAATGCTTAGGCCCTAAGCAGCCCATGGACTCCTTCTAGAACACCCCTTGGACGAATTCCTTATGGGTTTCCCATAGAATTCGTCCAACCTATGTTCCAAGGTGATCCATAGCCCAATTGCAATTATCTTATAATTACAATTCCATACCCCTAAGTTTAATTAATCTCATTTGACCACAAAATTAATTCTTAATTAATTCTTGACCAATATTAATTAAACAATATGATTTCTCCTTTAATATATTATTCTCATAATATATTAATAAATCATAATTAATCATCTTTCTCCTTAATTCATCTTATCAGTTGCTATGGTGAAGGCAACCCAAAAGGATCATGCTCACAATCGGGCCAAGTACATACCAAAATAGTTATGGGCTTAGACACCTAATCCAACAGTTTTTTCGAATAGATATCATGTACAAGAAGAACGGAAACAACCAAAAAAGGTTAATTGCTTTGAGTGAGACTCTATTTTGATTATATGATTGTTAAACTATCCAACTTGACATATTTTATCCTAAATGGTATCCTAATAGGCAATTATTAGCCAACTAAGCAAGTAGTCATAGACAAAGAATGATATACCAACTAAGAAGCCAAAAATAGAAAGTCTTTGAACAAAAGTTGTCTGCTAATGAGAAAAAAATATTTATCTTCAGGTAAAATTGTAAAAACATATTAAACTTAAGGGATTTTGCACAAATAAATCTACTTAAATATTAAGGAGACAAAATAATATGGTTGGTCCATGTGGTTTTCCAAAACGGGCGAATTCATGAAAACTATCATATGTGCTACCTATGCAATTATCGCAGTCAAAATTTCAATAGCGGTCACATACCGATATTTGAAATTGCGGTTATCGCGGTGGTATAGCGTTTTTTTTAATATTACATATATAATTGTATATTATATTTATATAGAATCTATATATTTTAGTATTAATACTATAAATCTATATAGAATTAATATCATAAAACCTAAAAAGTCATATAAAAAAATAACATAATATTCTAATATACTAACATGGAAACTAGGTAGTAGGAGTGGAGGTGGCCAGATTCACAAAGCATGTGACGAAATCCCTTCCATATTTGCCAATTCACAATTAGTCAAACCTCTTTCACAATCACATTACATGATTACATCACAAATTCACAATATAGGTATAATACACTTAATTATAATGTAAACAATCAACAAATTGAAGGAGTGAAGTATGAATTTAGTTTACAAATTCATCAGCCATCACATAATCACAATGTACAATAGTCAATAGTACAAGTCATGAGTCAAAACACAAATAGCCCATTGAGCGTGTCGGAACCTCGGCTCCATAGGAGGCCAAAAAAATCCCACTGTGAATGAAAATCGAATAGCGGTAATAGCGGTGATATAGCGGTCACGGGTTATGTGGTCAATAGCGGTAAATAGCGCCGCTATTAGCGCCTAGCGGTACCGCGATTACTAAATACTATTTTGAAAATGTATGTCCTAGAACACCGCCTACTGCTATAGTGTTGCTATAGTGCGCGATTGATAGCATAGTTAGCTACATATCGGGTCTATGTGGTTTCATTTCTTACGTGGTTAGTCCTCATGATTTCCAAAAATTGTCTGCACGGTCCTTTTCTATTTAAAAAGATGTTTTTACCTTTTCAGTCATTTTATTAATATTTATATATATTTTATAACTTTTTCATACTAAAAAATGAAATAAACAGGGGTTCTCTCTCTCTCTCTCTCTCTCTCTCTCTCTCTCTCGTAGACGTCATCCTTCCATCACCACCATCCGGATCATTTTCTCTTGCTATAGATGCATCTCCACTCCTCCTTACAATGTCGCGCTCTACCATTCCCTTTTATCCTTGTCCTTCAAAATCTATTGTTATCGGTAATTTTTAGATTTTTCCATGATTCCATTTCTTGGTTTGATTTTGAAATGAGGTTTTTGTTCTAGGTATAATAAGTTCCATTATATACATAACAAATAGAGATGTGCAAAAGAGCACGATGGTCCTCAAAGATTATAGGTTTGGGATTTGAATTTAAGGCATGGTAAGCCATCTAAAATCATGGTTTATCGAGACTTAAGACTTATGTATTTAATGGATATACACCATGCAGTTTGAAAATCAAGGTGTTTTAAAAATTTTGTTATGACATATGAGTGTCCATTTCCTGTAGCAACATAAAGATGAGTTTCCCCTTCTTGATTTTGTTTTGATGATCCATCGAGGCCGACACCCTAAAAAGTTCTGATGACTTTTGTTAGGTTACCTCATATAGAAACAAGATGAAGCACATAATCCCAAGATTTTTCCAGGGAATCTTTAGATTTCCTTCTGTTAACATCGAAACTCATATCTCTTCTCATGACTATTTGAAAGCACTTATGTTTCTCGATAACCCAAAACCATAAGATGAATCTTTTGATGATTTACTAAGCGAGAAACATGGGGTAAGAAGAAGCACGAGAGAGAGAGAGAGAGAGAGAGAGAGAGAGAGGCCTCTTATGTATTTATTTTCTTAATAAAATAATTAAAAAATATATAAAAAAAACTATTTAAAAAAGATAAATTAAATTAAAATGGTACAAAAATCAATTTACAAGCAATATTGACCAAAAGGACGGGCGGCTTAGTTTTTGAAACCACTATGACCAATTTGAAACCACTAGGACCAAATACATAGAAGTGTTAATAATTATTCTGTTTGTTTCATCAAACTATAGAGACCAATCACATGTTAAGAAAAAATGAATATTACTTATTAGTATTTTGACTGTTTTCTATGTCCATCATACATTGAATTTAATGTTTTCAGTTAATTATAAAAATATTTTGAAATTGATAAATATTAATATATCAGTTAATTAATATTAATATCTCTATAAAATAATACAACAATAATAATTTATAAAGGTTTTATTGTGTAAATATTTAAAGAAGGAACATAAAATTATAAATAAAATGTTTTTCTTTCAAAAAAGTTGTAACTAATCTTTAAATTCTTATACCCTTTAACATATTTTTTGGTTCCATTGTAATATGTAATGTTGTTTATCGTAATCGTTAATCAGAATGGTTGTTCTAAGTTTCATTTTATAAAAAGTATGATGAGATCGAAAAAGGGTAGCATTCATTTTAGAAAATCAAGCATTCATTTGAAGCAATATTCACAAAGCTGGTGAAAACTGAAAAGTAGAAAGTTTTGGGCTTCATCTTTACAATAAATAAATGTTAGTGTGTCGGATATGCATTCCATATAGTTGGAATGGATCATATAATAAGTGTGAATTGGTTTTAAAATTATTGTACTTTTGGCATGCGTATTAAAGCAATACAATCATTGTACTTGAAAAACATAATATAACACACGCAATTGCAAAAACAAAATATGGACATTTTTATCAAATTTTCACAAGTATGATTGATGATTGATGCTTCGTTTTATAATATTGGGCTTTTGTACTTTAGTTCTATCTTATCTTCTTGTAAATTACTTTAATTTTAAGACAGTTTTATCCTACTATATCTAAATCGACTAATGTTATGCACTTTGCATCGGGTTTATTAGTTTTCCAGCATTCTCTTTCTGTAATTTTGTGAAAAGCAGGAAACATTTCTACAATTTTATGAAACACAGGGATTATTTATGTAAATTTTCTAATAGGCAGAGACCATATCTATAATTTTATGAAACATAGGAGCCATTTCTGTAGACGTGTTATTAGGAAAAGACCATTTATGTAACTTTTTTAAACATAGGGACCATACCTGTAAAAATAATTATGTACAGAGGCCTATTCTGTAAGTTACATGGACCATTTTATAATTTGTTTTACATGTAGGGACCATTTATGTAATTTGCTATCAAAACAGGAACCATTTTGAAAGTTAAAGGGACCATTTTTGCAGATAATTTTTTTTGGCAGGAACTGTTTGGATAAAATCGAATCCCTTGGGAATTGCAAGTTTATGGCTTTTCTGTAAAATAGTTTACTTGTATAATTTTATGTTACAATGAAAAAAGAAATTCTAGTATTTAGAATGAACTTAAAATTTGAATTATTTATTTAGACCTTATTCCTTCTAAGTTGTCAAAAATTGCACTTACATATTTATTTATCCATATCTCATTACTTGCTTTTACAAAACACACCATTGTTTTTTTTAAACCCAGATGTAAATTAGGTTTACAGAGTTAATGTATTGAATCCAACTTCCATATCTTGATTGTGCCATCATCACTTGCAGAAGCAAGAACCCTGTTTTCCTGCAAATTAAGATTTTTAATAGTATTTTTAAAACAATTTACATATTTTGTTACCCATTTATGTCGTTATTTTATTTTTATTAAAAAAAAATTAAAAACTTACCACAGGGCTCCATCTAACCGAATTTATGTCCATGTCATGAGCCTTTTCTTTCTTGAAAAGCAATTTATATAAAGGTCCATCAACCTACATAACAATATTGTCACGTAACAAAAGCTTTTAGAAAAATTCTTTTTAAAAAATTAGAATCACATTCTTGATTTTTTAATATGTGAAAACAATAAGAGATTTGGCTACCGAATGATCTTCAGACTCAACAAATAAACAAATAGCATCATCAGCTGCTCCAGTTGCTATTATACCTTCCCTATAAACATTTTTATATATTATTAGATGTGTATCAAGATTATTATAAATTCCTACATTTATTAAACTTACATAATAAAGATATAACTTATGCTAACCTTGACCAATGGACTGAAAATATTGTTCGTTCATGATAACCAGATAAAGTGCAAAGATGTCTCCTACAAAAACAAATAAAACACTTGTATAGTTGTATTCTATTCTATTGTATTTATTATTATTTTTCACTAATATACTCACCAAGATGCATTGTCATCACCCGATTGTAATCTTGAAATGTCCACACCCCATACTTTAATGGTAAGATCATCACTGCAAATTTTAACACAAATTAATCGACTTATTCCCAATTTATTTATTTTTAAAAACCAAAAAATGACTTAAACCCATAAGTTATATACGAGTATTTCCTTTCTTTTGACTTAATACAGAAAGAACAACTTAATACCTGCATGTAACCATTTTGTCTCCAGTGTTGTTAAAAGCTAAAGCCCAAACTGTAGATGAGTGTCCACTGTAGTCATTACAATAAAAATTTATTGAGTGATTGAGTTGCAATAAAAGCAGATAATAACTTTAAAAAAACAAAAATGGTTAAAAAAAGAAGTTCATCTATCATCTTACCTGTTAGATTCACCTAAAGTTTGAACACATCGCCAATCATCACTATCACCATCCTCCGCCCAAATCTTTATTTGTTACATATTGATATTATCAGTAAAGGAAAGGAAGTAAATTGCTATGGAAAGATGTGAATTACCTTTATGGTGTTATCATAGCTACATGAGAATAAAACATCCACAGTTGGATGCCATTGGACCATTTTAACATCTTGTGTATGACCTTGAAGAACAGAGACACAATCAAACTCATCCCCTGGTAAAACTTCCCATATCCAAACACATTTATCTCTGCTACAAGTTGCAAGAAGTGAACCAGATGCATTCCATGAAACACTTTTAACTTCATTTTCATGACCCTGTAGTACATGGGGAACTTACTTCAAATGGCAAAAAAAATGCCCAAATGATGTAAAAGATTGTATCAAGAATCAGGAAATAGATACCTCTAAGGTGGATACACAATCAAAATCGTCCCCATTCTGTTCCAGAATAGCAGTGGTCGCATCAAAACTTGCAGTTGCTAGCTTTTTACCAGATGGTGACCAGGCACATGATCTAACTGTTCGAGTGTGAGTCTCTTCTAACACTGCCTGAACAAGGTGAAAGTTTTTTCAAGCTAAAAAGGTGGATAATGGTGCATCTTGCATTTAAAAACAAGTTTTTGCATACAGAACAGTAGATGTTTAGTATAAAAGAATCCAAATCAATCTTGTATTACAAAATCATGTTCCAATTTCATGTCAATAGCGGAGCTGAGAGCTGAAAAGTAAGACCTATTTCTCCTAAACCTGAAAAAATATGAGCAATACAAAAACTAACCTTGCAATCCAATGACGTGGAGGATGGGCTTCGTTGTCGCCAGATTCGAACAGTCTTATCGCCGCCGCATGAAGCGAGCATGGCAGCGGCGGTGCCAGTGGCCGGATTCCAAGCGAGACCCCATACCCTATCGGTGTGACCTTCTAGTCTTTGAACTTCTCTAAGTTGTAATCCTTCTTCTTCGAGTAAACTCATAGTCGAATGCCGGAAAAACGGTGATTGAGTTGACGGAAGATGATTGGAGGTATTATGTGGAAGCGGAAGAAACGTCGATCGGTGGTTTTGGTGAGCGCCGGAGACAGCAGGAGTGTGGTCAACCCGTGACTTTCTGTCGCTAAACTTTGATTTTGTAAAACCAAACAATAGTTTTATAAAAATAAGTTTCGTTTAATAATTTCTATAAATTTCGTTTAGATAGTTAAAACAATTATTGATTTTTTCAATAGTTAAAATCATTATGATCATTTTATATTAAGAGCTGATTAAAAGAGACAGACTCTTAAATTTAAAGATTAAACATGAAAAAATTAACGATCAATTTAGTAACATCATACAGTATTGTTCTTTGTTTTATGATGTTACTCTAAAAAATTAAAATAAGCATTAATACTACTAATAAAATTGTAAAACATCAACAATTTAGAAAATAATGGCAATGTTTGATATCATAAATCGCAATAAATACAATGTAACCCGATTACTTCAAATAAAATCGATTATGAATATCGGGCTCTTCTTTGTCAAAAGGGGATTTTATTTGATTATACCCTTAAATGGTTATTGTAAAAATAAACTTTCTTAATTATAAACGAATTGTAAACAATGAATAATAGATGGGTGTGCGTAGGACAATTTATAATTGGGTTTATTAATGATGAAAGTAGGTTGTGTTTTTCTGTATATATAAAAATTCCCGACAAAAGTTAATGAAACAAAGGCACCGGTAAAGTTTCAACTTAAGAAGATTCTTTGTGTGGGATTTGCTGTGGGAAATTGCAGCATGGAAAAGAAACAGATCTCCAAGAATGTTCAAATGAGTGTCAATTACATATCTTTTCTATTTAATATCTAAAAGTTGTTATTCGTATAGTATACCTTGTACAGATTTTGGAAAAAACATGATAAGACAGATAGCTAAAACTCATTTAGTTTATGGGTTTAATATCTAAATTTATAAATAAATATTTTAAGAGAAAATGACAAATCAGACTAATTTTATTTATCGTCTTTCAACATTTAATCAAAAATTAGCAATTTGACCAAAATAATCATGGTTTACGCAGACGACATCTGCAAAAAAGTAAAAACGGTCCATTTTGATGATTTTCACAAATGATTTACCAAAATCTCTGCCATCTAGGAAAATATGGGTCCAATTTGAAAAAAAAAAAAAAAAAAAAAAAAAAAAAAAAAAAAAAACTCAATCTGTTTGTTGTTAGATTCAAAAACCTTTTCTAATGCAAATGAAAGTTTAATATTATAGTTTTGATATGTAAAAATAACAAAAAATGGAATTCTCTAACTCTTCAAAATCGTTTTGAAAAATTGTGAGAATTCCATGTTTTGTTATTTTATAGATTAAAACTATAATATTAAACTTAATTTTGTTGTATAAATAGTTTTTTAAGGACTTCTAACACACAAACTTTTAAAAATATGCCTTTTTTATTTTAATTTTCACATATAAACTTAGATTTCCACATATGCCATTTGTAAAAACCATGACTCTTTTTGGTCAAATTGCTAATTTTCGATTAAATCATGTAAAATAGTAAATGAGATTAGTCAAATTTGCCTTTTATTATAAATCATGCATCAAATAGAAACCAGGACAACTAAACATACATCTAATTGTGCAAACATGAAAAAAAAATCCCTAAATATGATTATACTTATACCTAGTAGCTAACAGATTAGTGTCTTAAAGATCAGGATTTTTACTAAGATTTTAAGATCCTACAAGCAAAAACCGATATGGATATCATTTTTGTATCAAGATCGTAGGATCAGACGTCGTAAATTGATCCCATCCATTTTCTTTTGTGTTTAAAATGCATACACATAATGTCTTTCATAACACTAGAAAACTAATGTCACATACAAGTTCATACAATCCAACCCATATCCTTAATAATCTGTCCTTTAACTCGAAATCGAGCCTAAAAAGTTTGTCCATTGAGCTCAAAAATCGAGCATTGGTGATCACATGAAGCCATATAGAGAAAACTCCATCAACAATGAGAAGCTAGAGTTATAGTTTATAGTTTTAATCGCCACCAAAACAATGAACATCCAACATTATACACCACAATAAAAACAAAAGCTAACGACCTTCACAATATAAACGTTCTTTTCTTCATCTATTAAATTTTAATCAGACTTGTCAATCTCTTTAAATCTCCTATCCCATTCCTGAGTGTCATAGTCTTGTTCAAATATGTCTCTTTCTGTCGTGTACACAATCCGATCCTTCCCGATCACCATCCTCTCAGACATGTCCCGAGCACTCAGAATCTGTATTGCATACAATTAATTATTATTATTATAATAATAATAATAATAATAATTATTATTATTCGAATTACACATACCTTTCGTCTGAGGGAGACATCTGGCAATTCAAGTGCTCGAGCACGCAGCTCCCTGGCTCGGTTTCTTTTCTCTATTTCAGCATTTGTTTTTTGAGTGATAAACCATCGTACCAAAGGAATAGCAAAAAAGGAGGCAGCATAAATCTGTCAAATCAATATATTATATTAAATATAAATATGTGATCCATTTTTATTTTAATAAAATAATTTTAGGAGGGTGAAAATGGTACCTGGAGAAGAGGAAATATTTCAGAGACAAATGAAATGAATCCGCTTGGTGTAACCGTCATATTCCTTCAAATATATTTTCACAAAACAAATTATAAAAAAAAAAAAAAAAAAAAAAGGAGAAATTACGGATTTAGAGAATACATAATAATATAAATTTATTAAAAATTACTTACTTCAACATTGTGCCAAGTACAATGACTCCAAACAGATTAAACGCTCCCAAACCAGCAACCATTGCCCTCTCTGCATTGCTAATTTTACTGCATCATCACCACCATGTAACGCATATGTCAAAACCACTATTTCCAATTTGCAAACAAATATATAAATTTAATTTTTTTTAAAAAAAAAAAAAGACCTGAAATCCCATTTCTTTTCCTTAAAGTACTTATCAACCCCTCCCACAAACTCATTCCATTTTCTCCCCACGTATTCCTTCCTACCACCTGTTCTTTGAAGCGATGGAAACCGATACAAGATGTTCCCCTACACAGATATATCTTATTTATTTTATTTTTATTTTTTTCAAAAACACCTCAAAATCTTGAAATTTTGTGTATACCTGTTCATCGACTTCTGGTTGACCATCGAAACGCAGAAGAACAGGTAATATGTATGAGTCGTCATCCTGTAGTAAAAGTAAAAGTAAAACACAATTCAAGTGTTTTATATATATAATTGTGTCCTACATTTATAATTTTATTGTTTTTAAAAAAAAAATGAATTTCAAATGTGATATATGTCGTACAGTTTTATCTGCATTTTCCACATCAAGATATGGAGCAAGTTCCTCTGCTGTAACAACACCACCATTTGATGCAATGTACTGACCAATCTGCATTAGTGGGATATATATATATATATATATATATATATAATATTATCAGACTACCCAAATATAAAGAAAGAAAAAAAAATATAAATTTAAAATACAGAAGAGAAATATGAACCTTATAGTGCATATGATCATTATAACATTAGATATTCCTTTAGAATTATCATTTCTAAATATCTGTCATTGTCATTGCATTAAATATCATAGAATGTCACATAACAATAACTGGAGCTCAGGAAGATCATTCTAATCGTTTTTCTTTTTTATTAATGCAGAAAAAACAACTTAATTAAGAAAGTCATGCAAAAGAGGCATTCCCCATTAAGTCTTAACTCTTTTTTCTCATATACTTTTTAAACATCATTTATCCAAACAGCAATTTATCAGGATTAGCACTTAATAAGCTATCTATTAACTATTAAGACAGATGATGAGAAGCAACAAGATGATTTTTAATTTTCATAAAGGGTATATGAAAAAGGGCATCAAGATATACAGACATATCAAGACAAAACATTGAAAGTAACTACGGACCACTGAACTAGTGCTCAATTATTACCAACTTCCACCTCTCTTCTTCAATACCTTCATTTGGATCACCATCACCAAACACAAATGAAAACACCTACAAAACATATTATATATATATATATATATATATATATATATATAATCATTCTCCACATTACCAAACAATAAACTTATGACTTATCAAATGACAAAAATTACTAATTTTCAGCTTACAGATTCAATGAAATTCATTCCATTATCTTCTTTTCGTACCCTTCGCCTCCTATAGTAATATGGATCCCAATACCTAAACAACAAATTCATTAGGTATAGAAAAAGTGTATGTGTCACACCACATAAAAAAGAATTTGGGAACAAAAGATTACCAAAACAAATCCGCTGGATTAAGATAGAAAGAGAATCCTGAATCAAAAGATCTTCCTCTGCGTCTTCCTCCTCGATTATCTTCTTCACTGTCATTATCAGTAATATATCCAAACTGTTTCAGTTATGATCAAACATTTCATCTAACTCATCAAAGACAAAAAAGAAGGAAGAACAAAGTACCTACTACTTGTTAGAATAGCAATGATTGTTGTATAAACGATAACAATGGAAGCAATTAGAGCTGTTCCAAAAGTAACCCTGATCAAGTATTCAGCACCAGACTGCAAAAACATATTTGGATTGAAATTGTAAGTTTTGGGCATCATACAAATCCCTAAATAACATTTTAGGAGTTTGGGACTATACCTTTGTCTTTTCAATTAAAGGTTCAAATTTTATTCGAAGTGACTTGGCTGCAAGGTTTGAACGATAATCTTTTGGAAACACATAAAGAACATCACCTTCGTCTGAAACCTGTTGAAATAATCTTTATGAAACACATATAATGCAATTAAATTATACAAAATTGCATAACATCAACATATCATAAGTGACCAAAAAACTCTACCTCCAAGAAGCCATTAGTATCAGCAGCTAGGGCTTGTAAAGCCCTTTGAGCTTCAGTCAACTTAATCCCAGCCTTACTTGCCACATCACCAACTGTCACCCTTCTTCCACACTTATCCACAGCGTCCATCGTCCGCTTCCTCACATCCGCCGGCAACTTATCGCTCTCAATTATCTTCCCAGGCCTAATCCTCGCCGTTGGTTCCACCGAAGGAACATTAAAACTGGACCTTATTTCCGACACAAAACTTCTCCTATTACTACTCTGCTGTCTCTCAAATCTCAATAACTCCCTATGAAAAACATCATTATGTGTCCTAAAGGAGTAGTGGAATTGACAGGAGGGTCTAAGGGAAAAAACTGATGAGGGTTTTGAGTGGGATTTAGGTGTTATCGTGAAGCAAGTGGATATCGACGCCATTTATTGATTTATTGGATGATTATGGTAACGATTATTAGGTTTTCCCCATGGAAAACAGATGTGAATTTGAAGGTGCGAATCTTTGTTCTTCGTTAGTTTGAATGTGTGTTGTTTGGACGAAGAGGGCTGAAGGTTCAACGAGTTTGCAGATAGGATTCTGGAGGAAGGCAGGAAGCAGCCGAGGCCTTGTGTTAATGATGTTCCAGTTTTGCCCCTTGAGGAATTTATATTTTCAGATATACGTGTATATATATTTATATACAATGTTGTTTAGATCACATAAAGTTTTTTAAGTTCGCAACCTATGATCGTAAAATTGGATCGAGAATGAATTATCTTATCAGGGAATATGACTTATTAAAGTAATTAACTTTTTGGTTTTTTTCATATCTAGTTAACTAATTTTTTTTGTACACGTCTAGTTAACAAATTTTTTGAAAGTATTCACATATTACCATTATGACCTACTGTAGCAGGTTATATCCGGTCATAATGATTATACGTGAAAACTTTCAATAAAATAAAATGATTATATGTGAAAACTTTCAATAAAATAAAATCGTTACCACATATACAAAAAAGTAAATATAAACAAAACAAAAATAATAGTAAGTTACATGAATGGTCCCTGTGGTTTGGGAGAATTTGTGCGTTTGGTCTCTAACTTAATTTTTTTAAACTCAGATAGTCCCTACTGTTTATTGTTGTTGCGCTATTGGTCCATGTCTTACCTAAAAAGACTATTGTGCACATCTAGGTAACGAACTTGTTGAAAGTGTTCACATATGACCAATATGACCGGATGTAACCTGCTACAGCAGGTCATAATGGTCATATGTGAACACTTCCAAAAAGTTCGTTACCTAAATATATACAAAAAAAAAATTAATTAATTACCCAGATGTGAACAAACCGAAAAGTTAATTACCTTAATAAGTCATATTCTCATCTTACTAAACTAAAATAGTTATAAGTTTGAAACTGAAACGTACAGACATATTCAATAAAAACTAGTCATTGGACTTTTTATTTGTTTATGAATATTTGGCAAAAGTAGCTGTAAAACATGTTATTGGTTTTAAAAATAGGTAATTAAGTCAATTTATAATTTTTTTTTGTAAACGTTACTTGAAGTAGCTTTTGGATTTGAAACTTTTTGTTTTAGCCAAAAGTTAAAAGCTCATATTATCGAACAAATTTTTTTTTTGAGTTTTTTCTTAAAATAAAAAAGGTGGAAGCTTTCAAAAGTTGTGTGCTTAACACACTCTACCTATATTTCGCTAGTTATATAAAGTTTGAAAGATAGCCATATTCTAAAACATAAAATATGAACTTTAAATTTAACTACCTAATATAACCTTACATGACAAATACATATCTTACACGACAAATGATGTATTGGTATCATTTTCCAATCTATAAATACACATTCTTTTCTTATAAAACTCATTTACTGTGTTCGGGAAAAGTAAAACACGATTATATATATATATATATATATAGATATATATATATATATATATATATATATATATATATATATATATATATATATATATATATATATATATTCAACAATCTTAAAAATGGAGTAAAAAAATTAAAAAATTATGAAGTTGTGAGGCTATATGTCGTTTCATGTTATATGTAATGTTCGGTTTTCGAACTCATTGGATAAATTTGAGGCTAGATTTTGAGTAGAAGGGAAAAAAATTATGATTATGCAAAGCATTGTTGAAATAATATATGAGATTCATTTTTTATTGTTCGGAAAGAATTTAAAGTTACATTTTTAAATACTAAAGACCAAACTAAAAAAGGTGGATCGGATCATTATTCGTTCTTGAGTTCCTACATACAATCTTACGATCTTAGATTGATCTTGCTACAAAATTGATCATGTTGCGCCCCATATCGTTTTTGGCTTGCAGCAAAAGATTCCAATCTTAACAGCATTTTATGTATAACAATTTATTTCTAATTTCTTAATTATCATATCATTTTATTTTATTTTATGTAATAATTATATCACATGACATTTACTTATTGTAAATACAACACTTAATTTGAATAACGGATACTTAGAGGGTAACGGTGAACATGGTACGGTTTAGTACAGTTTTTAGTCAAAACCGAGCCGCAAACCGCAAATACAGTTTCCAATCACAAAACTCACAAAACTGAATGGCGCGGTTTATTTGTGGTGCGGTATTTCGATTGTTTGATGCAGTGTGGTTTCAGGCCCTTGCAGTTCAAATTTTAACGACATGACTTCCATACGGTTCAGATTCAAACGGCTAAAACCTTGGATGCTATCCAAGAGATAGTTGAGAAATCATTAATATAGATGATGAAATTGATTGGTGTTTTTTTTGCAACAGGCGATGTAAGACTATTTATAGATTAGAGTTAAATGGAAATGACCTTGTCATATATAGGAGATAGAACATGACAGATTTAATCTTGTCTTTGGTTTTTGCTCACCCTGTTGGATTTGAGTTTGAACAAAAGAGACCAAAAAATGTTTATTAATTGATCAGGTAGCAAGGCATAGTTTTTAAGTATGGATTCCCTTATGCGAAGCAAAACACTATAAACTGATAAATACTTTTTGGAGTGTTTGAAAAAAAAAACTATTATATATGTAAAATGACAAACAAAGGCATGCTTATATATTTTGACTTTTTTTTTTTAATATAACAATTTATCTTTAATCATTTATAAATGATCTTTTTTGACAAATTTTACATAATCATGTATTCCAACTTAAAACAACCAACTATGTTAAAAGAATTACATAAAGTATATTGAAAAAACAAATCGATTATTCTTTGTGCAATGTGCATCCTCTTTAACTAACTGTGAAGGCCAGTAACAATCTTCCATTGGATCCAAACCATTTCTTTTTACACTCCTCGACTCTTAGTCGTCATGGTTATATAATCTGCAAAGTTAACAAAAACTCTTTCATTTAATTAGTAACATACTTTTGAACCCAACTTTTTAATATTCAAACTTCAAGAGTTCCAAGTGTTTTATGAATAAAAAGGATCTTTCATCCAAAAAACCAAGCCCTTTCATCAACCTGTTATAAGTAGCAATATCAGGTAAACCCCTTATCCAACATCATCATCCACTATAACCTTCCCCTCCGTCCTTTTTTCCTTCCTTTGAATATCACCACTACTAATATGCTATAACTTACCTCATCTACAATACACCTTTCTCATAAGCCAAAACCCTCAATTTATTAGCCTCTCACACTTCTTCCTGAACTACACATATCACCAAGAAGACAGTTAAAAGTCACACTATCAGGAACAATACTACTGTCTTTAATAATTAAGCTCTTATCCATCAATTTAAATGCTGCTTCGGTGTGTTCTTAACCCTTCTTAAACTTCAATTAAAATAGTACAGGTGATGGAGCGGGAGCAGTCCTTTCTCCCATATCTCATCTACTATTAATCTTGCTTATTAACCTCATTCCTTCACAAAGACTCTCGATTAACCCAAAATAATCAACTTTGTTGGCAAAACTCCTTTTCTTGAAAATCCAGGATGAGATCACAAGCCTCATAAACCCTTCCTTCCTTGGTAAGCCCATCGATCAAGATCTCACAAGTTACACTCGATAAAACTGCACCCCAATTCAATCATCTCATATGCCATTCCTATTCCTTCTTTCAACTTCTTCTCCCTAAAGAATCCCTTGATCAAAGTGTTAAAAGTGACCACATTTGGAACACAACCCTTGACCCTCATTTCCTTAAACACTTCTAATGCTAACCCGAATTTGGAATTGCGAAAATACCCATTAATCAATATGTTAAAAGTGACCACGTCTGGATTCACTCGATCTTTAATCATTCTCCCATAGAAATCCAAACCCTTTTCGAATTTCCAGTACTTTACGAAACTATGGATCATGATATTGTATATAGCTGTGCTAGGTTTCCCATCTACTAGTTTACGCATTTTATCAAACGCTTGGAGTGCATCATCAAACCTACCGACGTTACAGTACGCATTGATGGCGAAACGGAAGATGGGTTCGGTACGTGAGCAAGAAAAGATACCGTCGGAGCAAGGGCAGGGATTGGAGACGATGAAATCGAGGAGGGGTT